GCTTTTTTCGCCTTTTTTGAAAAAAAATTGCAATTTTTATTTTTCTTCAAACATTAAACCTTGTCGGCTTTTTTGAAACAATGCTTTATTGGGTGTACTTTTGGAAAACTTTTTTTTTTCATTTTCAGTTTTATTTTGTATTAAAAATTAACTATTGCAAAGCTACTCAGAACAGTATTAATTTTTATATCTTTTAAACTTGATCTTTCCGACTTTTTTGAAAATTTTTTTTTTTCGGCGTAAATAATTTTGCAGAACTTTTTCTCTTTTTCAGGAATTCTGTAACTTTTTGCTTTTGTCGTATGCAATGTAAATCTGGCATACAAAATTGTTGAAACAATTTATTTTATTTTTTGTCAAAATATCCAGAACTTCTTTTTTTCCTTTTCAAAAACTCCAGAACTATTGCAAAGCTACTCAGAATAGCTTTGTTTTTGCCTTTTTGCGCATAGCGTATGCCAACTTCCCAGACATCATATTTTGCTACTATATAGTTTTATGGAAGAAAATGTGCAACACACTCGACAAAAATAAACTCAATAATCTTAGCCCGTTGAAAATTGCACTTTATTTAACGGGCTATTAGAGTGCATACTCAAAAAAATTTGCTTAAAAATTTCGAAATTTTTTATTAAAATTTGTTGAATTCTTATAAGTTTGCACGTCGGATTACAGGGTTTTTGTTATAGACTCTTATAAAATAATAGTAAATATTAAACAAACGAAAGAAAAACTGTCAATACTGAGCATCAAAATAGGGCGCTATTCAAGTGACCGGCACTGTATGTATGTAGGCTATTGTATGTACGCGCGCTATTGATATACTTTTGGCGACGGCGGTGGCATTTAGGTGTGTCGCACAGCCACCATTGTAGATATTGCGGCTGTCTTTTGTTGTATTTTCGCGACATTCAATACGCGTTAGTTTGTCGGCTGAGGGGCTGATAAAATGGTTTCGTTCATATTAGTTTACACGCATCGTTGCGATAAAAGGACATTGGCAGCAATCGGCTTGAATGGATGGCTCGTTGTGAGTTGTAATAAGCTGAAACAATTGACATCAATAAATAAAATGTTGTAAATTCCGATGACCGCTAGCACAGTTTGCACTGTGAAAAAAGGGATATTGGAAATACATAAATGACGAGTGGTCATAAAAATTGTTTTAAAATAATTTTATGTGCTTTTGTTCCCTAGTATCACATTTATTGGTACATGCACAATATGTAATTATTTACATACAAACTAGCGTACCCGGTTTGCATTGCTTTGCATAGAAAAAGAAATATTTATTGTAAGGGAGTTTATATTCACGTCTTTCTTCCAGTGTAGCTTGCAACTTTGTTTTATGACAATTTATGTATATAAAACTAATTGCTTACAAATGTAAACAACAAGTGTGTGTATGCGATTATGACAATGTTGACTTTCGTACATATGTATGTACGTATGTGTTCAGAAAAAACTTAGGCTGGCAGAAAAACAAAGGACACACATGAAACGCGCCAAAAGGTCAGTCAATACTTTAAGCGTTTAGCCGTTATATTTGTACAAATGAACTGGACTTATTATGTCAATGAAATTTGGCACACAGATAGGTTTTTAAGAGAGTTGCCAACTTTTTAAAACTTAAAGTCAATTAAGTAATAAGTTATAAAAAATATTACAACAGTGTAGATATCAAATGAAAGAGGCTCCAGAATAATTTATTTTGAAAATATTTTTTAAGAGGGTTGCCACCAGTTTAAAATACTTAAATCGATTAATGACTAATATTATTTAATTGGCGCTTCTCCTTCGATTAGTGGCGTGCGCCTTGTTGTTGTCGCACAAGGCGGAAGGCACCTACAGCTTTACGCCGAAAAACTTCGAAGGAAGCTGCCATCTATTAAGAAATTCAAAATCAATTTAGTTAAGAATTTAAGTAAAATATTTATATGTATATGGATATCTAACGCGAGCTTTGCAAGAGCTTTATTTCTAAAAGGTTTTTGAACCGGTTTGCGACCTGTTAAGAAATTAAAAAAAAAAATTTTATTTGGTAATCAATTTAGTTAACAATTTAAATATAATATTTTAATATCAAACGCGAGGTTTGAAAAAGCTTTATTTCCCAAATATTTTTGAAGAGAGCTGCCACATATTTCAAAATTCAAAATCAGTTTTTATTTAGTTTAGTTAAGTGATCTATTTAGTTAACAATTTAAAAATAATATTTTATTGTCGGTATCAAACAATAGAGGTTTAACGAAAGAATGTGTTCAACTGCGGCTCTAGAGTCGCTCCTGGAATGGACTCCTCTCCATATTTTGATCCAGGAAACAGCAGCCACGAGGAAGCTGCAACTTCGAGTATCTAGCGACGACTTCTTCGCAAAAAAGCTCCATGCAGGTATTCTTGGGAAGACACCAGGGTTGGAAACATGCGGAATCTCTGTTTTGGCAGAAAATTCCAAGCGATAATCCCCGATCGCGAGGATTGGGCAAAAGGGCTCCCTGAACTTGATGTAAGATACGTACACTGGTACACAGACGGTTCAAGGTTGGCGCACAGAGCAGGTGCAGGTATCTTTGGATCTAGCACCAAACTTGCGATTCCCATGGGCAAATGTCCAGGCTGAAATATTCGCAATTTTGAACTGCGCATTTCTAGTTATGTGTTCAAATAGCCAAACTGATATTCGGGCCATTTTAAACAGGACTGCTTTGACATGCTACACATTTTGGCAGTCAAAAACACGGTAACACTGTGCTGGGTACCAGGCCATTGGGGAATCGAGGGCAACAGGGTCGCCGATGAGTTGGCACGAGAAGGATCGCAATCTGCCTTTTCGGGACCTGAACCATTCTGTGGTCACAGTTGGTCCTCTTCGAGAGCCATATCTACTGAGCCGGTACGCTCGGAATGCAGTAAGTACTGGGGATCGGTGGGGGCCTTAGACAGGCCTGGCTCTTCGGCTACTCTTTCAACAGAAACGACATTGTCTTAGTAAATAGAAATGACATCAGGCTACTTTCTGGGTACCAGATCGGTCACAACCAATTGCGATTCCACTTGCACCGAATAGGTGCGATCACAGAGTCGGAATGCCGGCTCTGCCTCGAGGATGATGAAACTTCGGAGCATATTCTCTATTGCTGTCCGGCTTTGGCCAGACTGAATTGTTTTAAATCTTTAATGGCCGAAGCCTTTGTTATAAGGAATTCGACTACCAAGGCCTTTTTAGGATTCATTAGGGAAGCCGAAGGTATCTTGGCCACAATGGGTTAGGGACTCTTTTCAAGAGATACAAAAATCCTTTAGATCGAGGTGTCTCTTGTTCTGGTACACCCAAAAATGAACTTAGTAACTAACTAACTAACTACTATTACTTCGTTGGTATCTCTTTTTATAAAATTTGGTATTCATATAGCTTATGATCAGTATTAACATATCACGTCCTAATCGCGAAAATAACGTAACCGACAATTATTTTCCTAGAGTTACAATTTTGCAATTAGGTCACGAAAAAAATATTTTTTGAAGAGGGTTGCCGCCTGTTTAAAAGTTAAATACTACTTTAAATTATAAGTTAAACGAAGTCTTACGATATGGATGCCAAACGAACGCTTTATTACGAAAACATCTTTAAGAGGATTGCCACCAATTTCAAACGTCAAATTTAATTTGAGTAATAAATTGAACGAAATATTACAATATTTTTAAGATTTTGAAGAGTGTTGCCACCTGTTTCAAAGTCAAACCCCATTTCCGAATAAGTTAAATAAGGTATTACAATATGGATATTAATCAGAATAAAGCTTTGTTACGAAAATATTTTTGAGAAGGACTGCCAACTTTAAAAAAGTCAAATTAAATTTAATCAACAAGTAAAATGAAAGATTAAAAAATTATGTCAACTCACAGCATCGATGGTTAAGAAAACTTTATTTCGCAAATATTTTTGAAAGTGTTCCAAACACTCAAAAGTATTTTCGAACCTTCGTTCCTTTGACTTGTAAAAGTTTAAATAAATTTACTGAAATATTGCAATATAGATGTCGAACCAGACGGGCTGAAAAAAGATTTATTACGGAAACAGCTTTGAAGAGTCTTGCCACCTATTTAAAAAATTAAATTTAATTAAAATGAATATTTGCAAAATGGGATTTCTTTCGTCTTTACAGCAAAGATAAGTGAAATATAACAATAAGATATTAATATGAAAGAAAAAGTGTTGGTTTTTTGTTAATCAGACATACTTTTTAAAAGGCTGGCCACCTATAAAAAATAAAAAAAAAAATGTATGTATTGCATATAGTATAAAGACTAGTTACGAAACGTAAGTTTTTTTTTTTATACAGAAACGGTAAATTTAGTTGAAATTCGACACCTTGTCCAAGCCCTGTAACCTCGGAACAATAAGCACTTTTTAAATCAAATTTTATATCTTCGGTGATATAATTTATTTTCTTTCAGAGCATTAATTTCATTAATTTAAGAGTGTTGCTTTGATCCGATTGGATTTGATTTTAATGTCTGCTGGTTCCAGTACATACAAACTTTTAGTCTTCGTTTTTATTGAAAATTTATTTTATAATACATACATTATATCTATTTAGAATTTACAAACTTAAATTTTTTTTATTTTTTTAATAGAATAACACTTTCAATTACATCACATATATAAAAAAATTAAGCTATTCTAAAAATAAATCTCAACAATCTTTATATTAGAAATACCATCCTTGGGATGTCTAAATTAATATAAAAAAGTACAACGCACAAAAAAAAAAATGTTTTCAATTATTTTACAACCAAAAAAAGCGTTAGCTCACATACATCCACCAGCTTTCGGCTTTCAGTACAAAAAAATATAAAGTTAACTGCTAAATGTGCGTTAACTCGCACTGTGAGAATGTTACTCTCGCCTTTTTGCATTTCAATTTAGTTATATTGAGAACAAGTAAATAAATGATAACAAATGGCCACCGCACGTCCAATGTAAATTTCCATCTGCATTACGGTTCAGTTGTAGCGGTATTCGTTAAGAGATTCATCAAAGTCGTTGTGTTAGGGCCCGCCTGCGGTGAATGTTGCTCTGTTGTATTAGAAGATGTGAATTGCAGAAGTATTATTAGGTAGGTGGTGAGAGCGCCACTAATCTGCAATGTTCGTAGAATAAAAAAGTAAACAAAAAAATTTTAGATTAATATGCATCTGAATATTTTTGTTCATATAAAGTTAAGAAAATATACATTAGGCTGCTTTTTGCACGACAATTATTATTTTTTTTTCATTCCCAATTCTCTGAAAATTTGAGCCCATAATATTAATATGAAGTGCTCGACCAAGGCGTGCCAAGATTTCCTGTTCAAAATACACGTAAACTTTGTTTTTTTTTCTTCTTAAAAATTCTACAGCTCAAAGGCATTTTATGGTATCATCTTGGTCAATGATATTGTTTCATCAAAATTGAATGCTCTACAAAAGTGTCCATTGCGACGTAACCCTAACTCCCACCAGCGAGTTAGTACGGGCCACTAAACCCAATTTTTTCATGAAATTCTAATTTGTATGCCCCTATATTGTAAATAACAAGAACTAAAGAAAAAATGTGAACTATAAACTTGTAGGGAATTCAATTTCCCACAAAAAAGTCCCACAACACTAAATCGGTAACATTGATATTTCTTGAGATATTGGGCCTTGAAGTTGATCAACAATTTAGCTCAATAATCCATGAAAATTGCACACTACCTCGACCCTTGACCAAGATTATACCATATCATATTTATTTTACTAAAAGGATTATAACTCTGTATTTACATATATACTGACAATAAGTGTCCAAAATATGAATACCCTGACGTTTTGACGATTTTATTTATTTACATTTTCTATACCAAAATTTCTTATTTTTTATAAAAATATACATAGTTCATTCAACAACAAAAAGCAGCAGAATCAATTTTTTCAATTTCATATAGAACTCGGAAAAATTCAAGCAATACCAAAAAAATTCACCAAAATTTTCAACTTTTCAATTCGATTTCCTAGAAAAATTTTGAGTATGCAGTTTCGTAGCCCATTTAGTATAATAAGATTCAAGTTTCTAAAAATTATTATCAAAACGTCAGAGTATCCATATTTTTGACGCTGACTCTATACCTATAGAGAATGTATCACAAGCCAGTTGAGAAT